ATAAAAGACTTATGTTTGTAGAGAGCTTTATATTGTACACAATTATTTATAACTTATATATATATTAATATATATGGATATAAGCATACACACATATTAAAAAGAACAACATGTAGTATAAATCTCTCTATAGGTAGAATGCAGTAATGCTTTCAAACAGGAAGAAGTTAATAACATCACAGAACAAGTAAGTAGAACAAGCAAGAAGAGAGTTTAGGACTTTCAACTTTACAACCCAAATTATTTCAACTACAGTTTCTCTGTAATAGACACCATATGTTTACTCAGAAGAAAACATGGCAGGTGAGATTACTGTAGTACTCTGTTGAAGAGGTTTCATTCATCAGGAGACATTTAGTTTTTCAAGAAATCACTGAATGGGTCGGAAGAGGAGAGGGAGTGGAGAACAACAACAAAACAGCTTGGCCAAATGTATTGAAGTTATCTGGGAGGGTCACAGAGTCCACAGAGTAACAAGTGAAGATGTGAGGTGATAGCATTATCTTAAGGAAGGCAGCTTTGGGACAGGTGCTCAAGATGCTCTGTGGCCCCCCAGTGGCAGGCACTGGCAATGGAGAACTAAGTAAACTATCTGAAAATTATCTCAAAGTTCTTGCTTGGGTGGTATTGCCCACCAGGATGAGGAGACATTGGAGGTTCAGAAATAAGAAGATGGACATTTTAGGGGCACCTGCATGACTCAACTCAGGCAGTTAGGTGTCTGACACTTGATTTCAGCTCAGGTGTGGTCTCAGGGTCCTGAGATGGAGCCCTGCATGGGATCTGTGCTGGGTGCGGAACTTGCTTAAGATTCTCTCTCTGCCCCTCCCTGTTCCCTCTCTAAAAATAATAAATAAAAAAGGGGAAACAAGCCAAGTTCTTAGAGTATTGAGTCATTCATCCTTTTCCCCTTTATCTTACTTTGTCTATTTTTTCTTATCTTCCTCTTTCTCTTTATTAATATCTACTTCAGGGACGCGTGGTTGGCTCAGTAGTTAAGTGTCTGCCTTTGGCTCAGGGTGTGATCCTGGGGTCCCAGGATGGAGTCCCACATCGGCTCCCTTGATGGAGCCTGCTTCTCTTTCTGCCTATGTCTCTGCCTCTCTCTCCGTGTCCCTCATGAATAAATATAAATAAATAAAATCTTAAAAAAAATCTACTTGAGTTGTTTAAAACTATGTGACAGGCATGTCCTCAGCAAGAGATAGGTCCTGGAATAAAAGTTTAAAAACACTGAAGATGAAATATCACAATCTACTGCAGTGATCCCTAACCTAGAGTCATTTGCATACAATCTCTGTGATTTTTGCCATGTGTCCTGTTAGTTACTTCACATTTTTGTTCAGATTGATTCATTTATTTTACTCAAAACATTTTTTTTAGAAGGGAAGATTTCTTTTCTTTTCTTTTCTTTTTTTTAATTTTAGGGAGGGAGAGACAGAGAGGGCTAGGGAAGGGCAGAAGGAGAGGGACAGAGAGAATCGTGGAGCCCGACATGGCACTCGATCTCATCACCCTGAGACCATGACCTGAGCCAAAAACCAGAGTTGGATACTCAACCCACTGAGCCACTCAGGTGCCCCTGTAAGAGATTTTATATCAACATTGGAAACCCTATAAAATTTAAAAATGCACACTAAAACACACAACTATTAAAAAAATGTCCATCTGTGTCACTATGGACCGTATGTTCCTACGGGAGAGACTGATAGAACTGTACTTCACATTCAAACCATTGTAGGAAATGATGCTCTAACTCTTTGGAAGTTCTTTGTGCCGAGTAAAAATTTGCCTTCTCCCCTTTATCAGTCCCAGTCTTGTCAAAAAGAGCAATACAAAGTAAATTTTTCTTTGTTTCACAAATTGCCTTCCTTTAAATGTTTCAAGATGGTTCCTATGGGTCTTCTTTCCTCAAGCCTAAAATACCCCTGATACCCCCACTCCATTCATGTGCTGCTCCATTGCTGTGTTCCCTGATCTTGCTTCACTGCAATCCCTTTCCTCTAAATGAACTCAGGTTTAGAATCCTGGCTTGCTCATCATCTTCTTATGGAACGGGTCCAAGCCTGGACATAGTTCTCCAGATGGGGCCTGACCAGTGCAGAGACAATTAGGTTTCCCAGCTCTTGTTTGACAGTTTTTCCCTTAATGAGGCCTAAAATTGTATTGCTTTTTTAAAAAAGTCATCTTATTATGCTATTGATTCATATTCTGGTGGTGAGTGTCTAATACTGCCAGTCCTTTTCACTGCATATCAGCTCTTTCTCATGTGCAATGAAAAATAATCATCATTGCATTAGGATTCTCTAGAGGAACAAAACCAATAGAATATATTTAAGTATATATACATGAGGTTCACAAGGTTATGGAGGCTAAAAGTCCCATAGTCTGCCACCTGTAACCCGGAGAACCAGGAAAGCCAGTGGTACAATTCAATCTGAGTCCAAAGTCCTGAGACCTGGGGAGCAGCTGGTATAAATCAAGAAGTACAAAGGTCTGAGAAACCAGGAGGTCCAATGTCTGAGGGCAGGAAAAAAATGGACATCCTAGAGAGAAGAGAGAAATTTTGCTCTTCTTTTGCCTTTTTGTTCCATTTGGGACCTCCAATGGGTTGGTTGATGCCCACCCACAATGATGAGAGTGGATCTCTTTACTCAGTCTACTGAGTCAAATGTTAGTCTCCACTAGAAACACCTTCACAGCCCTATGCAGAAAAAGTGTTTCACCAGCTCTCTAGGCATTCCTTAGTCCAGGGAAGCTGACGGATAAAATTAACCATCACAGTTATTAAGCTACCAGACTGCCCAACCTGCCTTGGAATAGGAAGGAAAGGAATGTTAGAGACACTTTCCTGACGTGATGGCTGATCCCAGCTGTGAAGGTGGGCTGGAACTTACCCTGGCAGAGAATTGTAGAAGAGCGTCCAGGTGGGGAGATATTATGGAGGATGTGACAGGAGATGAGCCAGAGAAACATGCACCTGCCAGGACAATGTAAGACAATTGATGGGAAATCTCTTCATCATTTTTCGAGACTGATATATCATTTACGAATAAATATTTTGTATAATGTGTGTATATATACATACAAAAACATATATCTTCCAGTTTGCTTGTCCACTTCTTTGCTGTTGGACATTTGGGTTATTTCTACCTTTTGGCTGTTGTGAATAGTGCTACCATGAATAGCCATGTACCTGCGTTTGAGTTTGAATACCTGTTTTCATTTCCCTTAGGTCTATACCTAGCAGTGAAATTGCTCAATCATACAGTAATTCTAGGTTTAATTTTCTGAGGAATTGCTGTTTCCTACAGTAGTTCCTCTTTATTTCCCCATAAGCAATGTACAAAGGTTCTAATCTCTTCACATTCTAGCTAACATTTGCTATCTATCTATCTATCTATCTATCTATCTATCTATCTATCTATCCTCTGATTAAAGACAGCCCAGTGCGTGTGAAGTGGTACTTCATTGTGGTTTGGATTTGCATTTCCCTAATGTATGTCCTAATTTCTTTTTTCTTTCTTTCTTTCTTTCTTTCTTTCTTTCTTTCTTTCTTTCTTTCTTTCTTTCTTTCTTTCTTCTTTCTTTCTTTCTTTTTCTTTCTTTCTTCTTTTTCTTTCTTTTTTTTGTATGTCCTAATTTCTAATGGCTGCAGAGTACTCCCTTTTAAGGATGTCACATAGTCTACTTAGTTGATTCTCCGCTGGTAAACATTGAGACGTTCCCATCTTTTTCCCTCTATAAACATATAGACTGCAGTAACACCTCCATGTTCTCTCCTGCGAGTGTGGACTGTGGAGTCAAACATGAGATTAGGGTATAGCATCTCCACTTACTCATTGTGTGGTCTTAAGCAATTCACTTAACCTCTAAACCTCAGTTTCTTCATTGGTAAGTGGGAATGAATAACAGACCTGCTTCACAGGTGTTTCTGAAGATTAAATATGAATGTATGTAGACCTTTTAACATATGGGTTCATATTGCGGTAAGCGCTCAACAGATTTTGGTTTTGTTCATCTTTGCTCATATTTTTTATTTCTTCCTTAAATTCTTAGAAGTGACATTACTGGGTCAGTAGAGGTTATACACATATTTGAAGGCTTTTGACACACATTGCTAAATTGTCCTTTCTAAATATTAACGTATGCTCTACCAGCAATGTATGCCAGTGTTTGTTTCTAAAACCTTCAATCTTGGGGCTTTTCATAAAAAAAAAATCATCGCTAGCATTTGGTTATTGTTTTAGATCAGCATTCCTTTGATTACTAGTGAGGTTGAATATTTGGGGGGCATTTATACATTTCTTTTGTGAATTGTCTCTTTAGGTCTTATACCCTATTTTTTTTTCTATTTGGCTTGTACATTTTTTTCCTACTTGGCTTGTGTTCTAAGAGTCTTTTACATAAGATATTAACCTAACATTCCTAATATTTTATTAAAAATATAATATATTTCCAATTTGTCATTTGCATTTCAGTTTCACTTAGATACATGGCCTGATTCACCATTTTAGGATCTGTAAATACCAAACTCCTAAGGTTTCTTGGAGGGAATGAGATGAATGTTGAACAACTTGAGCCTCAGTTATCTCAATTGTGAAATGAAAAGTTTGGACTAGAAAATTGCTGTTTACTTCCAGATTTGCAATTTTGTGATTTTATATAAACATTTTGTATGTTTAATATATAGCATTATTTCAACTTCATATTTTATATTGATACGTAATTGTAATAACAACCATAAACATAATTACTCCATAAGCTGCCTTTATATGTCTTGAGACCCTTGAACAGAGAGGCTTTAAGTGTATACACACACACATACACAAACACACATTTATATTTGTATAAAATAACGTTCAGATCACAAAAATTAAAAATCTGATATATAATTTGTTTTATACAGGATGAGTTGTTTATAATTCTCCTTTAAGGAATACTTACTTTTGCATCACTGAGGACACTATAAATTACAACTTTTTTTTCTTGTTAAATAGATATTTGATGAAATGAAGACTACATATTCTAGCTTCAAGAGCAATTTTGTGAAGAGGCTGTCGGCGGAGGTTCCCGTTGCCAGTAGCCCAATTGCCACCAGATGGCGGCAAAACCAAGCTCGGAATCCGGCTGCCTGCTCCTTTGGGGAAGAGTTTTCAACCACTTACTTCCCAGAAGCATCTGGATCCGTGCTGGAGAAAACACCGGAGAAAGAGACTTTGGTTCTCGGTGAGGTAATAGAAATTCCACAGACTATTTAAAAAATGTTAATGAAATATAAATTCCTGAGAGAATCTTTGTGTCGTAGAACTATCCAGTATCACATTAATCAAGGGCTTTCCTTTTTTTCTTACTTTGAATAAGAAATTTCCAAGGTGGTGGCAGGAGCAAGATATGAAACAGAAACAAAAGACAGTATGTTGTATTTCAGGTGCATTTGTGAGATTTGCATTTGTGCATGATTCTTTTTGTAAAGATTATAAATGTATATAAAAGATTTTTCAGTGGTCCCTTGGGCCCTCTGATGAACACGTGATATGAACAAATACGTAGTTTTAGAGGATGACTTGACAGGGTTTTCTGGTAGCTAAAGTCTGGTAAAGGGCTTTCTCAATCTTGAGAAGAGGACAGATATGAATAATAATGATGCAAATAATATTGATTCTGTTATTACTTTAATTTAGAAAGGATTTCACTGATGTGATCTCAAAGTATCTTTACAACATCTTTCTATAAAAGGGAGAGGGAGAGGCAAAGTAATTTGCTCATGATCATAGAGTGGATACCAATGATTATGAAAGCAAGCATCCCACGGTGATTTCCTGGCAGGATGATCATACCCTGGGCAAATCAGATATCTTTGCTTCATCATCTTAAACTAAGGAACTGTTTGTATCTATTCTTCAAATGTGCAAATGTGTTCTTTCCATGCAGAGATTAAGTATTTCTGCTGATGCTGCAGTGAGAGTCAGGTCTTCGATCTTGGCATTTGCTACAGAGGCCACTGAGGCAATGCTCACTTACCACCATGGCGTTCTGGATAAGGCTGTCTCTCCCTCTTTTACTCACCTCTCCCAAATTTTGGAGAGATGAGGGCCTGTGTCTTCACATTCTATTGTGAAAGGTGCAAGGGGTTGACCACTAACCAAACTGATTATCTTGTTTTGAAAAACAAAAGCTAAATATTTTTCTTGCAGGATCCTACCAAGAACCACTGAAAACCCCCATCAAAGGAAGTTTTGAAACAAATAACTCTGCCCTCCATTTTTGCAAGGCACCTCATGCATTGGATAGAGGCTGGAATGAAAACATTGCCTCAAAAGGCCAGGTAGGTAAAGAAAGAAAACTGAAAATCTCATATCCTGAGAAGCTCCAGACAAATAAGTCCCAAATGTGAGAAAGGAGCTGGCTTAGCTGCTCTTACAAATCAGTAAGAAAATGAGTGAGTGAAGGACATGAATAGGGGCACTTTGTAAAAGAAATATAATATCTAACAAATATACAAATCTAGTTAGTATCAATCAAAAAAAGTGAAAATGAGACATCAAAAAGGTAAACATTAAGATGACATGGTGCTATACAGAGAAAACCCTAAAGACTCCATCAAAAGACAACTAGAACTGATAATAAGTCAATTAAGTAAAGCTGCAGGATACAAAGTGAGTATATAGAAATCTGCTGCATTTCTTTTGGAATCTGCTGCATTTCTATCTAATAATAATTAAGCAGCAGAAAGAGAAATTAAGAACACAATCCTATTTACAGTTGCACCAAAAACAGTAAGAGACCCAGGAATAAACTTAATTAAGGAGGTAAAAGACCTGTACTCTGAAAACTATAAAACACTGTTGAAAGAAATTAAAGATGACACAAACATGGGGCAGCCCTGGTGGCTCAGCGATTTAGCACCGCCTTTGGCCCAGGGTGTGATCCTGGAGACCTGGGATAGAGTCCCATGTCGGGCTCCCTGCATGGAGCCTGCTTCTCCCTCTACTTGTGTCTCTGCCTCTCACTCTCTCCCTCTGTGTCTCACATTAATAAATAAATAAAATCTTTTTTAAAAAAGATGATACAAACAAAAAGATATTCCATGTTCATGGATTGGAAGAACAAATCTTGTCAAAATGTCTATACCACCCAAAGCAATTTCCAGATTTAATACAATCTCTATCAAAAGCCCAACAGCATTTTTCACAGAACTAGAACAATCTTAAAATTTGTGTGAAACCACAAAAGACTGAATATAAACTTGAAAAAGAAGAACAAAACTGGAGGTATCAAAATCCCTACAAATCTGTAGAAATCAGAACAATAGGGTACTGGCACAGATATATACACATAGATCAATGGAACAGAATAGAATCCAGAAAGAACCCCATGGTCATATGGTCAATTAGTCTTAGACAATGGAGGCAAGAATATGCAATGGGAAAAAGAAAGCCTTTTCAACAAATGATTTTGGGAAAACTGGACGACTACGTGCAAAAGAATGAAACTGGACCACTTTTTTTACACCATACACAAAATAACCTCAAAATGGATTAGAGACCTAAATGTGATTTCTGAAACCATAAAATTCCTAGAAGAAACCATAGGCAATAATCTCTTTGACATCAGCTGTAGAAACATTTTTAAAGATATGTTTCCTCTGTCAAGGGAAACAAAAGGAAAATCAAATTATTGGGGCTACACCAAAATAAACACCTTTTGCACAGTGAAGGAAACCATCAACAAGACCAAAAGGCAAAAAAACCAAAACAACAACAACAACAAAACAAAACACCAAAAGGCAGCCTATCAAATGGGAAAAGATATTTGCAAAATATATATCTGATAAGGGATTGGTATCCAAAATTCATAAAGATCTGATGTGACTCAACACCAAAACCCAAGTAATCCTATTAAATGGGTAGAAGACATGAACAGAAATTTTTCCAAAGGAGCCTTACAGCTGGCCAATAGACATATGAAAGCATCCTCAACATCACTTAACATCAGGAAATGCAAATGAAAACCACAGTGAGATTTCACTCCAGCTTGTCAGGACAGCTAAAATCAAGATAAAAAAATAACAAGTCTTGGCAAGAATGTGAACCAAAAAGAGCCCTAATGCCCTGTTGGTGGGAATGCAAGCTGGTGCAGCCACTGTGGAAAACAGTAAATGGATGTTCTTCAAAAAATTAAAAATAGAATTAACCTATGATCCAGTCATTCTCCTACTGGGTATTTACCCAAAGAAAGCAAAAACACTAATTTGAAAACATATATGCACCTGTATGTTTATGGCAGCATTATTTACAATAGCCAAGATATGGAAACAATGCAAGTATCCACTGATAGATGAATGGATAAAGAGGATGTGGTATGCATCTACACATATAAATAAATGAATATGTACATATACATACAGTGGAATATTACTCCTCCATAAAAAAGAATGACATAAAAAAAAGAATGACATCCTGCCATTTGCAACAACACAGATGCACCTAGAGTGTATTATGCTGAGTGAAAGAAAGGCAAATATCATATGATTTCACTTATATGTGGAATTTAAGAAATAAAACAAATGAACAAAGAAAAAAGAGAGCATAAAAGAACAGATTCTTAAATATAGAGCACAAACACCGTTACCAGAGGGACGGTGGGTGGGGGATGGATGAAATAGGTGAAGGGGATTAGGAGTACCTTTATGATGGGCACTGTGTAACGTATAGAATTGTTGAATCATTATATTGTACATCTGAAACTCTTAGAAAACTATATGTTAATTTTACTTGAGTTAAAAATAATAAAGATTTTTTAAAGAGGTAAAGATTAAAAATATAATGAAATTATACATACTATGGTATGCTTCCCCTCAGCCAAAAGATTTCTTGTATAATCATTTCCAGTTATACAGTGACTTGGTCTGCCCTCTGGGGTTTCCAGGATAAGTTAAATTCTTTGTCTATAAGATGGCCATTTTTTTCCTCTAAGATTTATTGATCTATTTTGGAGTGTGCAAGTGAGGGGAGAGGCAGAGGGAGAGGGGGAGAAAGAATCCCAAGTAGACTCCCCACTGAGTGTAGAGCCCTGTGAAGCTCCATGTGGAGCTCTACGTGGGGCTCTGTCCCAGGATCCTGAGGTCATGATCTGAGCTGAAATTAAGAGTCAGACACTCAACCAGCCGAGTCACTCAGGTGCCCCTGTAAGGTTTTGCTACTGTTGTTTGTTTCTTGACTAAGTTAATTTAGTTCTTTTAAGTATCTCATTTATTATGATTTTAAGATCTTAGAGGAGTCTGACCTAAATTCCTCGGGCACATTAAGTATCACTAGCATGTTTTTGGGTTTATCAAGTTCAATGAATAGCTTCTGAAGGAATCAAGGCTTCTTTTAGAAAGCTTAAATGGAAAGTAATAAATTCTCAGTTTGGGCAGTTACTTATTTAGTATGTGCTTCCAGTGTTTGATATCTATCTATCTATCTATCTATCTATCTATCTATCTATCTATCTAGATATAGATATAATAATTATATAGATATATTTATATGTATATATATCTTACTAGAGGAAAAATACTGTGAATGTAAAATTTAATTATTTGAAACCATATACAAAAGGTTTGAAAATAAACCTCTTAGAGCAGGTCTTTTGCCTAGTGCTTTATTGTTGGTTAGGGGTTTAGAGGTGCAGATGGCCAGGGAGTTCTATATCATTAGGGACATGTTGACCTTACACCCAGGCCATGTAATCAGTGCCACTGCCTTTCCACACTCTACTTCTTGCAGACTAGAGTTTTTATTGCCTTATCCTCACAACTTCCCTTTTCTTTAGGCTCTATAGTAACTGGAGGTGGCTCTGTCTGTGTGGTCACAATGGTGTTGGAAAGTTACCATTGTTGCAGCAATTGTTATCCAGCCAGAGCATTGTCCCAGCTTCACTGAAGAACCTGGGAAGGAGATAATGGACACTGTTTCACTATTTTATATAAAACATTTGTCGTCATGACTAGTTAGAAGTCAAACAGCATTAGGATTGGTGCAGATACGAAGTGAGGTCTTTCACATTGACAGTAAATGTGAGTCTCCATGTGATCCTCAGAGGTCCTGCAGAGGGAGTTTCTACAACAAGGACCTGCATAGTTGTGTAGATGTTCAAAATTATTCTGTATAGTCAGATCTATGCCAAGTTGTTCAGTAAAGTAGTTAGTAGATCTTACCGAGGGAAGAGCACCCTTGGGTACATCAAACCAAAGCACTCTGTGCTGGGCAATTCCTTGGTCAGCTTTGTGCTAATAATGGGATTCTGAAGAATTAACTCTATGAAGAGTTCCATTGATTTTAAGAATATTATTTTATACCAGTAGTTCCCAACTGGGGGTTATTTTGCTCCCCAGGGGACATTTGACAATATCTGTAGACATTTTTGATTATCCCATCTAGTAGATACAGTCTGAGATGCTGCTATACATCCTATAATGCACAGAACAGCCCCCACAATAATGGATTATCAGTTGCCAAATGCCAGTGATCCTAAAAATGGGAAACCCTGCTTATACTTGATTGTCCTATTTTGAATACCTAAAAACCCATGATTCACTTACTGGCAATGACATAATATCTGGGAAGAAAACTAAAAATCTCAAAATGATGCCTGTGAAAGGGAATGCTGTATGAATTATGGTGATCCAATGACTGTTTTATATGTAAGATTAAATATATTATCATGTAGGAGAAAAAAAAAGGAATTGTCTCCACTTTATTTACTAAAATGTTTTTAGAAAATTCCAACAAGCACTTTTCTTTATACTTACTATTAATTTTCTTATCTGTTCTTGTTTGAGGTTTGATGTAAGCATGTCAGAAGTGCTTTTTATATACTGGCCCAAAGGGACAGCAATCAGATTTTTGTGTTCATGGGAACCAAGGCAAATTATTTAAGATCTTGTGATTTGATGTTCCCATTTCTTTTTTTAAAAGATTTTAAAAATTTATTCATGAGAGATACAGAGAGAGGAAGAGACATAGGCAGAGGGAGAAGCAGGCTCCCTAAGGGGAGCCAGATGCAGGACTTGATCCCAGGAACCTGGGATCATGACCTGAGCCAAAGGCAGACGCTCAACCGCTGAGCCACTGAGGTGCCCCTGTACATGTATGTTTCTAAAGAAGTATTTATTTGCTTGTTTACAGAAATGCCTAAACCAACTATTTTTGACCCAGAAGGTGGTTCAGTGGGTTAGTGGGCAAATGCAACTCTGTGAGCCATCCCAATGTGTCTGGAAAGGTATGGTCCAAAGATTTTCTGTTTGTCCTTCTTTCTTACCCTTCTCTCTCCCTGCCTCCTTCATTTCTTCCTTATCTTAGAATATATTATTGGAATATATTATTTTTATATATATTAGACTAATCAACATAATTATGAATTTAGAGAATTCTCCGCCTTACCTGTTCCCCTCCCCAAGTCTCATTTCCTAGAGGCAATCATCCCTAACTAACAGCTCTTCCCCCTAGTATTTACATCTATTTTCTAAGTAATATTTGTAAACTGCTCTTTCTTGAGATTTTAGACTTTATCATAACTTTCTGGCATAGTAGATAAGAACTTTGTTCTTCTGCCTCATTCACCTCCTTCAATCTACTTAGATCACACTTCTAAAAATTAATGAACCCTTCACGTGGCTGAAAATTTGTGTATAACTCTGACTTCCCCAAAACTTAACTGCTCATAGCCTACTGTTGCCTGGAGGCCTTCACAATAATATAAACAGTTGATTTACACATATTTTGTATGTGATATGTATTATATACTATATTCTTACGATAAAGTAAGCTAGAAAAAAGAAACTGTTATTAGGAAAATTATAAGGAAGAGAAAATACATTTACAGTACTGTATTTTTTTAAAAGATTTTATTTATTTATTCATGAGAAACACACACACACACACACAGAGAGAGAGAGAGAGAGAGAGAGAGAGAGAGAGAGAGAGAGAGAGAGAGGCAGAGCACAGGCAGAGGGAGACGCAGGCTCCATGCAGGGAGCCCGACGTGGGACTCGATCCTGGGACTCCAGGATCATGCCCTGGGCTGAAGGCAGGCGCTAAACCCACTGAGCCACTCAGGGATCCCACTGTGTGGTATTTATAAAAAAAAATCCCCACATGTAAGTGGACCCATGCAGTTCAAACCCATGTTGTTCAAGGGCCAACTGTATTAGCTTCACTGTGTAAAGCAGTGATCCAATATTGGTATATATTGCAAAATAATCACCACAGTACTCCAGTTAACATTCATTACAATTCATAGTTACAGAATTTCTTTTCTTGTGATGAGAACTTTTAAGATCTATGCACTTAGTAATTTTCAAATATGCAGTCCAGGATGAACTATAATTGCCATGCTGTACATTACATCTCCAAGACTTATTTTGTAACTGGAAGTTTGTACTTGTTTTTTTAAAAAACCCTTATTGGTAGTGCTTGAGTGTTTCTAGAAACCTTTAAATTTTGCCCACAACTGCAGGTCTTTGTGGCTAACACCAAGGCTGTGAATAACGATCTACTTCTGGGTATAGCACTGTGAAGTTCTTACACTTTTTATCAGAAGGCATGTGGTCATAGAGACCTCAAATTACCTGGGTGGGCTCAGAGCCTATTAATTTATGTCATCTTGGTTTGTTCCATCACAAGCCAAGTAGTTGGACAGATGAAAAGGTGGTGGCCTGTGGTTTAGACCTAGGTGGGTCTTTTGATGAGAATTAAAACTGAACCCAAGATAGGACCTTGAGCTCAGATAGTCACAGGTAAAACTAGCCAGAAGTAATTCTGTGTGCTCTGGTAAAGAAACAATGAGACAAACAGCCAAAATAAATGAATCAACAAATACTTATTGACAAAGACTCAGAGTAGGGCTTATGCCTATCAGTTAATTGTTGATGTGCAGACAAATGGATATGCAAAAATTACTTTGATTTTAAAATATCAAGGGATGGAATAAATATTCAAAGCATGATAGAGTGTTTCTGTATACTTCCCACAAGATGGTCGTTACATTTAGGTCTGGCATTCATGTGTTTTTTGTTAAAAAAATGCCATGAAATATTTTTAAAATTTTTGTTTAAATTAATCCAGAAGCTGTTTTTTCCTTCCCTTCTCCTGCAACTTGTAATTCAGTTTTATCACAATGACTACTTTCTTTTTCACTTTGTTATGTCTTAATGCCTGCAAGGATAAATACTATGCTTCCAAGATAATAAAGATAAAGATATCTTTATAGGCTGCAGAAATGGAGTTGGAGATGAATCCTTCCATCTTAAAAGATTCGGTGATATAGACTATTCCATACTCCAACCAGAAGTGAAGATTCATCTTTCTGGTCTTCGAAATGACTATTGTAAGTTATTGTTTAGATCATGAATTGAAAAGTTGGAGTGACAAAATGTATCCTGTGCTGTGGCATAAACTTGAAATTTGCTTCTGGAAGAACCTAATTGGCCCTTGTGCCTCATGTCCCAAAGCTGAACCATCCAAATGTGGTTAATGTAGTTTGGCCTTTCCTTGTGCAAATTTCATGTTTGGAATGGGTATTGTTGGTGTTGGTGGGGTATGAGAAAAAATATATTTATGAATTTTACTGTATTAGAATGAACTGTGAGAATGGGGCCTACTCTTAGGCATATATTTCAAATATGGATAAATCTAATCAGTCAAACAGCCATATTGTGTCTTCTTGTTATGTGCTTAGTTTATAATCTAGTTTGGGAAGACAGGACTAACTCACATGGAACTTCTACCATTATGCCAGTATAGGATACAAATAATGAATTATGGGGTAAAAGGAATTACAATGACTATGAGTTCAATGATCTTTGGATCTTTGTCTAAAAAGACTTTGTGGAGATAGTAAGACTTCAGCTGGGTCTCGAAAAATGAGTAGGATTTAGAGGGATGGAGGCGAGAAGATAGAGTGTTTTCAGCAATGTTAACAGTGAGCAAAGGCAGGCTGTTGGTAATTAATGATAATATTACTGAAGAAGATACAATGGGAGACTGGTGAATAGGGTGGTAGATGGAAATTTTGCAATTACATAGGTCCCCTCAACCCCCTAACTTTTTTAGGTTACTGCAGTTGTTATATATTTTACATCTACGTATATTGAAAACTCTACCATTATAAGTTTTACTCTAAAAAGCCATATATATATGTATTTTAAATAAAAGAGGAAAAAATGGTCTTCATAATTACTCAAATATTTACCAATTCCACTCTTCTTTTTCATTCCTGATGATCCAAATTTCCCTCTCATATAGTTTCCCTTCAGCCTGGAAAGCTTCTTTTGGCATATTTCAGATCAGATCAGTTGGTAAAGACTTCTCTTATACTTAATTTTTGCTTAATATAGATTTCTGGGTTGCTAGATTTTTTTTCTTTCAGCATTTTAGAGATACTGTAATGACTTCTGGCCTCCATAGTTTCTGGTGAGAGCTCTGGTGAGAGCTCAGTTTCTAGGGTCATTTGAAGACTTGCTCTCTTGCTTCCAAGATCTGACTCTTTTTTTTTTTTTTTAAGATTTTATTTATTTTGTTATTCATGAGAAACACACATACAGAGAGAGAGGCAGAGACACAGGCAGAGGGAGAAGCAGCCTCCATGCAGGGAGCCCGACGCAGGACTCGATCCTGGGTCTCCAGGATCAGGCCCGGCCCTAAACTGCTGAGCCACCCGGGCTGCCCTCAAGATCTTACTCTTATTACACATGTTAGATCTTTGGATATTATTCCAAAAGTCCCTGAGATTTTGCTCATTTCTTTTTTATTTTTTTCCCTACACGTTCTTCAGATTGGATCATTTCTGTTGATTTATATTGGAATTCAATGACTCTTTCCTCTGTCATTTCCGTTCACTATTTAGGCCATCCAGATTTTTCAGATATTGATTTTTCAGTTTAGAAATTTCCATTTATTGTTTTTATGGCTTATATTTTTATTTTAAATATTTTTTAAAAATTTATTTATGAGACAGAGAGAGAGAGAGAGAGAGAGAGAGAGAGAGAGAGGCAGAGACACAGGCAGAGGGAGAAGCAGGCTCCATGTAGGGAGCCCGACGTGGGACTTGATCCCGGGTCTCCAGGATCAGGCCCTGGGCTGAAGGCAGTGCTAAACTGCTGAGCCACCTGGGCTGCCCTGTTTTTATGGCTTCTATTTTAGTTTTATTTTTTATAGTTTCTATTATCTTTACATAGAAAGCAGTTTCTTTTTTTCCATTCTGCTGATATTTTCTCTTTTCATTCAAGTATGTTCTTTCTTTACCTCATGGAGAATATTCTTTCTATTCTGTTTATATATTTTATTATAGCTGCTTTAGCATCTTGTTTTTGATAATTTCTATACTTAAGTCATCTTGGGGTTCTTGTCTATTAATTATGTTTTCCTTATGTCCAGTAATCTTGAATTGTGTACTGGACAATATGGATATTATGTGATAATAATTCAGGGTCCTGCAGAGAATGTTGCCATTTTTGTCTTAGGTTTATACCTTAAGGTTTGTCTTGCCTTTTATGGGTGATGTTTTGAGTCTCAGATCAGTTTCTTCAGCCTCAACTATGCTGATTTGGGTCTATCCCTCATATATACGGATTAGAGTCTAGGCTGAGACCTAAATGGATTCTTCAAATCTCAGTTCAGTTTTCAAAGCCGTTGCCAAGCTTATTTGAGTTTTCCTTGCACTAACATGATTTCAGGGTAAGGCTGAGATGTGTGTGGATTCACACATTCACAATTAGGGAATGCCTTTCTGTGGCTCTCTCCCCTCCAGGATTTTCTCCACATACTTTGGTCACCTCAGACTCCTTTCCCTGGCTCCTCTCACCAGAAAGATGGTGAGCTTTCCATCAGAGTTTTAGCTGCTGGTGCTATTCCATGATTGGGGCCTACCCTCTGACAAAACCATGTGAGAAAAAAAGTGAGAAACTCACCCCTGGGCAGGCTGCTTCTTCTGGTTTTGACTCCCTTACTTAGTTTAATTGCTTTTGCTTATTTTCCATTTCTCAGGTTTTTAATTTTTAAAAATATTTTGTTCAGAGTTCGTAGTTGTCATTAGTGGGAAAGGTGGGTTATAGGTTAGCTTAGACCACTGTAGGGGAACTAGTGTGCTTCATAGTTTTGTATTGATATGTGTCAATCAGGATAAGAGATTTTTGTCTTCCAAGAAATAAGATAGAGTTATATGTCAACTATATTTCAATTAAAGAAATAAGGTAGGATACATTTTAATATGTGGTCACACAAATATGGTTTGGTTTCTTTTGGCAGTCAAAGAGTTCTTTTTATTTATTTATTTATTTATGATAGTCACAGAGAGAGAGAGAGAGAGAGAGAGAGAGAGAGAGAGAGAGGCAGAGACACAGGCAGAGGGAGAAGCAGGCTCCATGCACCGGGAGCCCGACGTGGGATTCGATCCTGGGTCTCCAGGATCGCGCCCTGGGCCAAAGGCAGGCGCCAAACCACTGTGCCACCCAGGGATCCCTCAAAGAGTTCTTATAAGTTGAAGCTGGAGAGTACTGCCAGGAACTTCCAGGTATCACATATAAGTCACTGACTACTTTTTCTAGATATTCCATAGTTGGGTGTATTTTGGTTTGAAATGATAGTGGCATCTTTCATATGGATATTGTGGGTTTAAAGATGTCTCCCTAACAGTTATGTGCTTTTCCCCTATATTTATTGCAGTATTATTTACAATAACCAAATTATGAAAGTAGCCCAAATGTCCATCAATAGATGAATGGATAAAAAAGATGTGAAATAAAAAAAAAAGATGTGGAATCGGGGTTCCTGGGAGGCTCAGTTGTTAAGCATCTGACTTCAGCTCAGGCCATGATCTTGGGGTCCTGGGATTGAGCCCCACATTGGGTTCACTGGGGAGTCTGCTTGTCAGTCTCCCTCTCCCTCTGCTCCTCCCCATTCTCATGCTCTCTCTCTCTCTCTTAAAAATTAAAATCTTAAAAAAGAAATGTGGTATATGTGTGTGTGTCTGTGTGTGTAATGAAATGTTATTCAGCCATACTATTCTTGCCATTTGCAACAACATGGATGGACCTAAGTGAAATAAATCAGTCAGAGAAAGACAAACACCATATTATTTCACTCGTATGTAGAATTTAAGAAACAAAATAAATGAACAAAGAAAAAAAGACAATCCAAAAAGCAGATTTTTAACTATCTGATCGAACTGATCATTTGTAGATCAGAGATCATTGATCAGAAAACAAACTGTTGCCTAAGGAGAGGTTTGTGGGCAGGATGGGTGAAACTGGTGAGGGGGATTAAGAGTGTACTTACCGTGATGAGCACTGAATAATGTATAAAACTGCTGAATCACTATATTGTATATCTGAAACTAATATGACACTTATGTTAACTATACTGGAATTAAAATGAAAAAAAGAAAAAGTCTAGATAAATTTCAATGAAAAAATAATATGTGCTTTTAATTTTTAGTGGCCTGTTAGATACAATTCATGTGTACTAATAATGATAGGTGAAACTTCCAAGTTCTCTAAATGACTCCAAATAAATATATCTGAGTATAAATAGCAAGCATTATTGTTCATTAGACTGTGTATCTTGACACAAAATTCTAGTTTTTATTTTTGAACTTCTAATGATCTGCTTGCATATATAATTCTATTTTCCAACTAACCATGGGAAAGGGATTAATTTTGCTCATCTATCTATAAAAAGTTGGTTACTTGAAAATATTTTTTATTTGCTAAGTAATTACCCTAACTAATATGAAATGCTTTTCTTATAGATCTGAATATTCTAGACTGGAATTTTCGAAATCTTGTTGCTGTAGCCCTTGGATCCTCTGTGTTCATATGGACTGGGGAAAACAACGTGATTGAAAATATAGACTTAAGTCTCAATTGTAACTATATATCCTCTGTGTCCTGGATAAAAGATGGAAACTGCCTGGCAGTTGGCACCAGTGAAGGAGAAGTACAAGTAATGGAAAGTTGTTTTTTTTCCTCAAAATGTGCTCTGTGTAATTGCTCAATAACTAAAATTGACTTTTAATAACAAGCTATTATACAACAGAGAATCTATATTAGTTGTGGCACTTGAAACTATGGGGAGTAAGAGGATATACCATTCTGTTTTTTTTTTCTGAATGGCATTTAATGAGGAGTTAAGGATACTCTATCTAGCTTTTCTTCACACAAGCTTTCCTTCTGTCATATTTACCTTCTTAGAAGTCTTTTTTCCCCCCAAATTTTATTTTTTAAAGTAATTTCTACACCCAGAGTGGGCTTGAACTCACAACTCTGAGATCAAGAGTTGCATGTTCCTGGGGCACCTGGGTGGCTCAGTGGTTGAGCATCTGCCTTTGGCTCAGGTAATGATCCTGGGGTCCTGGGATCAAGTCCCACATCAGCCCCCCCCCGCCACAGCAGGGAGCCTGCCTCTCCCTCTGCCTATGTCTCTGCCTCTCTCTCTGTGTCTCTCATGAATAAATAAAGAAAATCTTTAAAAAAAGTTGCATGCTCCTGATCAAGTCAACCAGGTACCCCTAAAAGTCTTTTCTCTAGTATTAAAGTTGGGCTTGTAGAATCTCCAGGGTTAGGACTTTGGAGAGAGGAAGATAACCGTCAGCTCTCCTTTCTCACCTCAAGCTGTGATCAGGAGCAGAGTTACTTAAAATGAAGGAATTTGTTTCTGATAAGCTCTCTGAAATGGTAATTTACCCATATTCTATCAACCTATTTAATTTCTCGTGTATTATTATTACTAGCAATACTATAAACAATATTGCTCATATGTTCAATGACTTTGGAGGGCCATAGATAGCTCTCATTGCTTTCTCATCTCTACAATGATATTGGATGCTTTGAAGGTTATGTCATGATTTCTTCTTGCACCAAATTCTTCTTTCTCATATGGGTCAGTGTATCATTTGTAGGTGGCAGAAAAGGAGTCTTTTAGCCTGTCGGTGGATTTCTAGATACGAAATTCCATAATTTAGAAGAAACTAGAAGTGTGAGAGCCATTCTCAACCTGTGGCTGTGCACTGAATTCACCTGGGGAGCTTTCAAATAAATGTCTTTAAAAAAATGCCATATCCACAGATCCTACCTCCATTATGAAATCAGAATGGCTAGCATCCAGAGCAAGCTCTGCAGGTGATGTCATGACAGTTGACATGTCAGACGATGTTGAGTCAGACAATGTCAGACATGTTGAGTAATGCTTCCCAGGGTTAAGGGAGCTAAGCTTTCGTGTTGTACAAAGACTGGCTGTATCAACAATAATTGCCATCAGGCCTTTAGAAGACAGTGGGCTCTGAAAAAGACAATGTTATGTAACTCTGTTTGTTCATTTTTTTTTTCAGTTATGGGATGTGATAACTAAAAAGCGGCTGAGAAATATGCTTGGTCATTTGTCAGTGGTTGGGGCTCTGAGCTGGAATCACTCTATTCTCAGCAGGTAAGAAGCGTCTTAATGGAACACATTAGATTTGTGTGTTCACTCACCAAGTTTGGGAGGCTGAGTGAACCAAAAGCAAAACTAAAACAAAACCAAACCAAACAGGATATTAGTTAGTTTCAGTTATGATCCTACCCTCTTGCATGTTCTGATCTTCTGGTGATATAAGTGGTCCAGTGGCCACGGATACCATGGTGGCTCTGTGCCTGCACCGTATGCTAGTACTGGGAAGTGATGTTCAGGATTCACTAAATTGTTCAGATAAAAGGTCAAACTCTGTTTAAGCAAACAGTTTCTCTGTACCAAGCCATACCTACCAGAGGGATATTTTGTTGCAATCAAGTATTTATTGTTATCAGGATCAATAATTTGGACTATGGTAAGCTTTCTGGGGCATATTTCCAATTCACAGACCCACAGATGTCAAAACTGGAAGGAGCCACATAGATCAGCTATCTCCATGGTTCTCAAACTTGAGCATGCATCAACATCACCTGAAGGACTCTGTTTTTTACTTTATTTTATATTTTTTAAAGATTTCACTCATTCATTCATGAGAGACACACACACACACAGAGGCAGAGACACAGGCAGAGGGAGAAGGCTCCACGCAGGGAGCCCGATGCGGGACTCAATCCCGGGTCTCCAGGACCACGCCCTGGGCCAAAGGCAGGCGCTAAACCGCTGAGCCACCCAGGGATCCCAAAGGGCTCTTTAAAACACAGATTGATGGTCTGTCTTTAGGAATTTCTGATTTAGTAGGTCTGAAGTTGCTTTGATAATTTGCATTTTCTATTTTCCAAAGTGATGCTGATGCTTCATCACTTTTGAGAACTACCAATGTAGTCTAACTACTTCTTTTTAACCAGAAAAGTTAAGTGACTGTCCCTATGATCCTACATAATTGATCTAAATATGCACTGTTTTTAATAATTGCCATTCATTTTTATACCATAGTTCTTAAGGTAGGTTTAAATTAAATAGATTCCAAGGCCTTTTACAATTTAAGTAGCTAAGAAATAAATTTGAGATTTCAATACCTTGTGATTGTAAGTCAAAGTTAAAGCCACTTAAAAAAAACTGTATAAAAGGCTAATTATTTACTATGAGAAGCTGTTGTAGTGAAGTCAGTTCTATATTTGAATTCTTTTTACAGTCTGCATTGTTTAACTTTAGTTATATCATCCACAAGGAAAATGAACAGATCTTTTCTTATAGTAGCAGGTAACATTTTTGGAGTAATGGATGCTAGGCATTGTGCTATACTCTTTATGTGCATAATTGTGTTTTAATCCCTGCAGTGATGCTATACAATGGTTTCTAATACCCCCCCCCCCCACCCCGCGCAACCTATTCTTAATGAATAAACTGAGATACTAGCCTGAGGTCACATGGTAAGTAAAAGGGACAGAGTCCAGCTTTGAACCCAGGTGGTCTGGCTGCAGAGTTCCTATTGTTCATCTGAATGCTGTTCAGTGTGTCTGGCGCCTGAATAGTTTTTACAAATATGATACTGGATTTTGAGAAATTTCAGAAATAATTATATGTAGTTGTTTACTTATTCCTTGTAGACAATTAGTCCAGAAAGAGTTCATTTGATAGAGTAATAGGATCTTTATTGTTATTTGGATCCAAATCACTGTGCATGAGTAGACATTATCCACTGATTTTGAATCACATTACAGTTTGCTGTGACATATATTTCAGATGTTAGTAACATTAACAAAACTAATAGTGGATTTGTAGATTAATAGAAAGAGGAAATAATACTTCATGCTTTCGAATGCTCGAGTTTTCTGTCAAAAACCTGCCCCTCTACCTTTGTGCAGCGGATCCAGGCTGGGCCGTGTTTATCACCACGATGTTCGGGAAGCCCAGCATCACGTTGGATCACTTCACCACAAGCAAGCTGTCTGTGCTCTGAAGTGGTCGCCTGACGGCAGGCTGCTTTCCAGTGGCTGTAGTGATGGACTGCTGGCAATATGGCCCCATGACCCAGGTGTGAGAACACAGACTCAACCGCTGAAAGTTATATCCCAAACTACAGCAGTCAAGGTAAGACATCCAATAGCCTTCCAAGTTGCTCTTCACTCAGATATCACTGAGTATCCTTCACACATGAGAACAAAGCCATTAAGCCAATGCTTTGAGATTTTTCTTTCCCCAGAATTTGTTGTGGATTTTGCTACCACTCTCCTGAAAGACAACCCTATGTATACGCTCCATGTGTCCGTTTTTGTGGTTGTGACTGAAGCTTCTGAAAAAAAAAAAAAAAAAGGAAATATATTTTCTCTCACAACTGAGGAGTCCTGGTACATACAGCTGCTTCAAATACCGTCTAGATCGAGGGCCTTAAATAATGTCAGAACACTCTCTCTTTGGTTCTTGGCTCTGCCTGTCTCTGTTTAGTTTCATTCTTTATTCAGACATTTATTTTGTGGGCAAGATGGCTCTTAGCAGCTTCAAATTCAGATTCCCTCAAATGGGAATTGATTAGGAAACTATCATTCTTATAAGTCTGGTATAAAAGCCCCAGGCAGGACTCTGGTGTGACTTTGGGCACATTCTCATCTCTCAACAGGTAACTGTGGTCAGAGAGAGGGTACACTGATTGCTCAGGCCTAGGTCATGAGCTCACGCCATGAAAGGAAACCCATTGTCAGAAGAAGGAGGAGGGGTGGTGCCCAGTTAAACCAATATTCCACTGTGCTCTGTTTAATATGTATTTTTTTCTCTGTATTTTAAATTCTTATTTCTAGTAAAAAAAAATCCATATATTCATTCCTTTGGTGTCATAGATATGTGTCCTGGCCTCAACATAGACTCCCAGAATATTTATCACTCACAGAGCAAAGAAATGATTCTACTTTGTTAACTATGAGCAAATTTGTTAGAATGAGAACTTACATAGTTATCATGGGGTTTCCTTGTATAGGGTGTAATACGTAGCACCTGCTGCGAGGCATAGTGGTGGCTCAGTACTCTGGCTTGTGGTTTTTATTTTTAAAAATATTTTATTTATTTATTCATGACAGAGCAGAGAGAGAGAAGAAGAGATGTAAGCAGAGGGAGAAGCAGGCTCCTCGCAGGAAGTCCGATGTAGGACTTGATCCCCAGACCTGGGGTCACGCTCTGAGCCAAAGGCAGATGCTCAACCCCTGAGCCACCCAAGCATCCCTGGTGTGTGGTTTTTAATATCCATAGAACATTAAGAATGATTTTAGGTTCAAATTCCCATTCTTAATGATTTGAAAAAAATCTATAGAAAATGTATGTAAAATATCCTGTCTGCAAACAAAATGCAAAAACAGAATAAAGCAAAACAAAAACCGAACACATGAAAACCCAAGCAAAGCAATACAAGTTACTTTCTTACATGTCTTGTCAGAAACACAGTGAATTGAACCAAGACTTTCTGAAGCCTGAGCAAACTAAATCTGGTGGCAGCTAATAGCAGGATGGATGTATAAATAAGGATGCATAGATAAATATAACTGAAATATCTGTTATAATGTACTTTAAAATTACTATTAGTAATCATTTCAATGATCAATATAAATGTGTAATACTAAATCATATTTTTCAGAATAACTATAGTAACATAAATAAGTAAATCAAAGATAATTTTATTTTCTGAAATGTATTAGTTGAAATGCCTGAGAGTTTTTGGGGTATGAGCAATCGTGTGTGGCTCCATTCTGTCCTTTTTTCTCTGACCTAGAACCTAAAGACACAGGTAGACAAATAGGAGAAAGGCTTCATTTCATAACCAGATTTTAGGGGCACATGTCACCTACTCCAGGGGCAGATTTTTGCTCATAGGTCATGTTGAGTGTAGTTTTAAAAATATATTATTGGGTGGTTTTTCTTTGTTTAAAATATTTGCAGTTCTCAAAATTTGAGGAAGGCACCTAATAGGTGATTTCTAGTCCCTTAGAAGTGATCTCTAGAGAGTGCCACTGCTCCTGCCTTTGGATCAAAGGTCCAGAAGAACCATGGTCCTCGCAGACCTCTGCAAATCCTGCTCACCTGAGCGTGTCACCATCACAAGTTCACTTTCTCCAAAGCTGATCCACCTGTGTGATTATTTGAACTTTAAAGGCCATGGATTGGTGTCCCTGGCAGTCTGCAGTCCTTGCTGTTGGAGGCGGAATGAGAGATGGGCACTTACGTATCTTGGACATAAACACTGGGGGAAGTATCCAGACCCCGAGCACAAACTCACAGGTAAACATCTCTGCTGGACTTTGCCTTCATTTTGATCTTCCAGAACCTGTGAAAATGATTCCTGAGAGAGCACTGGACTCAAACAAACCTCTTTATACTTGCTGAGGAGGCTACGGGGATTTCAGTTCTTGACAGTTTCTTTCTTTCTTTCTTTTAAAGATTTTATTTATTTATGACAGAGAGAGAGAGAGAGAGAGAGAGAGAGAGAGAGAGAGAGAGAGGCAGAGAGACACAGGCAGAGGGAGAAGCAGGCTCCATGCAGGGAGCCTGATACAGGATTCGATTCGGGTCTCCAGGATCACGCCCTGGGCTGAAGGCAGCACTAAACCGCTGGGCCACCCGGGCTGCCCAGTTCTTGACAGTTTCTTTTTGTAAAACCTTTATCTGTGAGTTGAAAGCTGAACTGTGTATCCTTCCCTCCCCACTCGATTCCCCACATCTCCCTTCTTTCTCAGCATTGCTTTGACTGTGCTCACATTTGTAGGTTCAATGCACCTAAACCTATTTGTATGCTTAGTCTTCTGTTGGCCTTGGGACTAACAGAATTCCTCTAACACTCTAACCCCGGCTGTGGACTGGAGGATGGATGTGGATAGAGCATACTGCCTAGAATCAGTTCGAAATACATTCACGATGAATCAGATATTGCCATAATTCTGTATTTTTTGGGCCACAATTCCAGATTTGTTCCCTACTCTGGCTGCCTAAGACAAAGGAGATTGCAACTGGCCAAGGTACTCCTCAGAATGATGTGACTACATGGGTCTGTCCTGGTCTGGCCAGGTCAGGTGGATTTTTTGGTAAGTAAGTGGATGAGTAAAATACTGCGGACCTATAGCTAAGTGAGATGTCATTGTCAGGAAAAGCCTCAGATGAAAGATTTTTCTCTTCTGGCTCTGTGAAATATTTATTTTACCGAGGAAAAAAGCCTATACCCACTCCACCTCAGAGTGTGTATAGGTGTTTCTGAATTTGACCAAGACTGTTCATTACTTACAATGGTTATGTCTTCTTGTTTCATATGTGTGTGGATGAAGCAGTGATGATCAGGGATTCTTTCTTTCTTTTTTGAAGATTTAATTTATTCATGAGAGACACAAGGAGAGAGGTGGAGACATATGCAGAGGGAGAAGCAGGCTCCCTGTGGGGAGCCTGATGCAGGACTTGATCCCAGGACCCTGGGACTATGCCCTGAGCTAAAGGCAGACGCTCAACCACTGAGCCACCCAGGTGCCCCTCAGGAATAGCTTCTAAACTGTTTTTGAGCTCTGGAGTTAGTATTGTAACTCATCTTACCTTATTCTGCAGAAGAACCAGCAGTACTGGAATGTGTGGGAGTTTTTGCAATATGCATCTGCTATGTCTCAGGCACTTTTTGGGGGGGGGATGTTGAGGATATACATGTAAACAAGACAGATGTTATCTTTGCCTTTATGGACCCTATACTTTAGTGGGAAGAAACAGACCAAAAACCCCAAACATGTGTGTGTGTGTGTGTGTGTGTGTGTGTGTATATATCATATCACATATATATATATTTACATGTCACTAGATAGTGATAATATTAGGACTCTCTTTGCAGACTCTCAGAATGCTATCTGGCAACAACAAAACACCCTTAACAGAAAGACTTCCTGCTCCTGCTGCTCAGTCTGGCCTCAGAATGACTTTTATATCCCTAAGCTGTTATACCTTGTGATTTGGTAAATAAAAACGTATGCAGCTCTTAACAGAGCTACCTGGGTAGCCAGGAGAAAGGATCCACTAGTTGATCCTTTGCATATTTTAAATCATAAGATCTGCAATTCATGGGATATGTTTTCTGATTAGAGAAATATTTCTAATCAAGCCTTAAACCTGGTTCTCTACAAAACTACAATTCTAGGAGCTAGTTAGATCTTTCAGTGAGGTGGGGGCCTCTGATAGATCCTGGAGTCAGTATGCTGATACTTGGAGTGAAGAATGAACATGTCCGGTGCATTTTCTTTTTTGTCTAGCCTTGATAAGCTATAAATTATTCAGTTGTAATGCCTTGTGACTTTTCTGTTGATTGTAGATAGAATTCCAAAGAGTACTTTTAAACTTTTCTCCTCTTAATATGTTTATAGCTGGAGGAGATGCAGTTCCTTTTGAGCTCTCAGACACTAAAGCTCATCTCTGACCCAGTGGTTTCTTTCACATGCCATATTTTCCCCCAAGGGTTTAGCAGGTGGTTGTTATATGCATATACACATCATGTGGTTAGCATTAAAAAAATGAAATAGAATAGTACAGAATGGAAAAAATGTAAAAGTATGGTATTATTTTGTGAAACATTTGTTACAGTCGTGCAGCTCCATACACGTGTCTATATATGGGGCCCCTACATAAAATGTAGTTTTGAACTGTGGGTTGTGGTCATAAAGCTTGGAAAATGGTCATGCCTTTCCTTAGTCTCACCCTGTTAACCACAGTTCATGATTCTCTGAGGGGAAAATTCAGGTGAAGAGGCCTCACCCACCTAACTGCAGAAGAAAGAGAACTTACCATCATCCTTGCTCTCAAGGACCAAAAGTTGTAATTGACAAGCTTTGAAACAGGAGTAGGTAACTTTCTAGCCTGCAGGTCTGGCCTTTGCTTTGGTTTCACCAGTCCATAGCACATGCTATGGAAACCATTGATTGGTGGTCTCCTTTATGATAGCTGCATAAAGAAAACAAAACTTTCAATCCTTTCAGTGATAATACTCTTGGAATTTAGGGACGTAAATCCTAAAGGATGACCTTTGTTTGAGGTAAAGATGGCATTTCCCACTTAGTCTAGTAAATTAAGATTTTCACTAATAAGAGAGAAGTATTTCAAGAATGCCTTTGCTTCTAATCCAAACTCCATTTTCCTAACAAATTTTGCAAGTAGTTGTCCATTTTTTAAAGTCGAGACACTTTTAAAAGCCTGCTTTGGAAAAGATTTGGGACTTTTTTTTCCCTTTTCCACCTTTTTCCCCCTTTCTCTTTATCTCGACACATCATAATAAAGAATGAAAGTATGTTTATTACCTACTTTGTTTATTGAATTGACTTTTCTTAAGTTTAATTTAAAACCATTCATGTAATACTCTATATTTACCCTAAGTCAAGTGGTTTTCATTTATATTGCCTTAATTTATAAATGTGTAAAATAAATAAGGGACAGTGGTTTTCCATAGAATAGAGATTCTTTGCTCTGGGTTTGGAGAATGGGCTAAATGGTTAGACCACTGAATTTGATTGTAGTTCTGGCTCTGCCATTAGTTCTGTGACCTGGGACCAGGCAATTGATATTCCTGAATTTTCTTTTTTTCATCTATAAAATAAGGGAGCTACTTTGTATCTATGAATCTAAATTTTTTAATGTACTGACACACCCATGGCCAATCCCATGTCTCTTTGGGGGATGTGTGTGTGTGCGTGTGCATGTGTACATGCGTGAGTGTGAAGGAGAGCATTAGGGGTGATGTGTGCAGTTGGAAATAATCCCAAGTGTTTAAGATATGTCTCCCTCAGGAGTGGAATACACATGTGCACTCCTTTCTGTTGAGAATCTGTGTCAGAGCACAAGATTATTTCTGAAATTCTAGATCTCACTTGAGTTGTAAGTTGTACTGGTTCTATGAGATGACCACCCACCTAGCTAGATTTTATCTGTGCCCCCAAATACCTTTTCCATCAAAAACTTATTCCATCTCTTTCCTTCTCTCTATCCTCCTGGCCCCAGCCTCCTTTCATGGTTGGTATTTCCAGTGATATTTCCCTTCCCCCCCCCTTTTTTCTTTACATTGTTTTCCTTTAGTAACTTGTCATGTTCCGTTTTCATTTCACTTTTTGCTCTTTTTCTTGAATATATTATACTAATTTGGAAAGTCAGTGAAACTGTCAAAATGTTAGTTATCTCAATAAGGTACTTGTAATTAAAATATATGAGAACTACAATCACTAATTCTACTGTATTAAATATTAGGAGATATAGTTTGATAAACATGGCTTGTATGAAAACTGAGCAAGTAAGTGTATGTCGTTACCTGTAGTGTTCTGTGTAGTTACCTTATTGCTTAGTCTGCAGAGAATAATGACTTAGATGTCTGATTTGCTTTCACTTATTAAACTTGTTCACCATGGGATGATGTCTATAAAAAATCAGATACTGTTATATTAGATTAGGATTTAATAAAAATTGTGAAAGCTTAAAAAAAAAGTTTTTTTGGAGTCAGTTATGTCTGCTTTGTGCTAAACGTTTAATTTATTAACAGGGTTGGGTTAGGATAGATTTTGCCAAGCATTTTCCAAGGAACATGAGTCACTTGAGATGTTCACATCAGAAGGACTCTGGGCAAATAAGTTGCAGAAATGCTGTCTATTATAGTCTCTTCTCCTCGATAAAGCAGTCTTGAAATAAGGAATTCTGTTTTTTTTTTTTAACCTGGAGCTCCCAAACTAATGTGAACATTAAAAACTTTTCTCATTTTTAATACCTATTAACCTTATATAGAACTACTGTTCCATAGAGTGCTCTTTGGGAGATGATCAGTTAGATAATAACAAAAGGGGTATTGTCTCCAGAATGACATAATTAAGACTTGAGTATACTTTGGGGGAGTGCTTTTTGGATCCTTTCCTACTGGGCTGCCTCAATTTATTTGACTAGCTCCTTGAAACCTGGGTCCCAAGGGGATGACTTTTGGAGAGGATAAGAAGAAGGATGGGATGGGTGGCAGGAGCACACCAGTAGCAATTCCTGACTGTTGGTGGACTAGAGAAGATAGAACTGATAAGGGCTTGGGGCATGAGCTGTGTGGAGGGCTAGAAATGCTCTCCTAACAATATCCTTGTCAAATCCCTGGAAGCTGCAATTGTGACCTTATTTGGCAAAGGGGTCTTTGCTGATGCAATCAAGCCAAGGTTTGTGAGATGAGATCATCCTGGATTATCCAGATGGGCCGTAAATCTGATGACAAGTGTCCTTAGAAGAGACAGACACACAGACGAGAGGGCCACATTACCACAGATGCAGAGAACAGTGTGATGTGGCCACAAATCAAAGGTAGGAGGCAAAGGTTGGAATCTCTCCCAGAGCCTCTAGAGGGAGCCAGCTCTGCTGACTCCTTGATTCTGAACTTCTGGTCACCAGAACTAGGAGAAAATAAATTTCTCTAGTCTCAAGCAGTTTGTGGGAATTTGTTATGGGAACCCTAGGAAACTAAGATAGGGGGAAGAGCTCTTAAAGGGAAACCCAGTGAAGCAAAATCTCAGCCACATTCTGATGCTGCTCATAGTCAGCCACAGCAAAGGCGCAGTGGGAGCGCCAGCTCCAAACATGGCAGGTTTCAGAGAAGCCTTCATCCTGGGATGGGGTATGTGGCTGCCACCTCAGCAACAGACCTTATAATATAGGACATGAACTGTCTTATCTTCTTCCCACAGGCCACAGAGGCAGAGTGTTGCACCTGGCTTTGAGTCCAGACCAGACCCGAGTGTTTTCTGCTGCAGCTGATGGTACAGCCTGTGTATGGAACTGCTGTCGCTCAGCCCTCCTATGAGCTCTGGTTTCTTCACTTTGAAGTGAGAATAATGACAGTGGCCTTGTCTTCTCCATGAGGTTGTTGTGAGGATCAAACAAGATGGAAGTGCTTTTCCTGAGGTGAATGTCTGTTCTCCTGACCTTCTCTCTCAGGTTACTTTATTTGCTCTGTTCCTCCAGTTGCATTTCCCAGATGTTGTCTTTGCCTCTTCTCTATTTTCCCCTCTCTCATCCTCTTCTTTTCTTCCTCCTTTTTCATTTTTTTAAATCTCTATCTCTTCCTTATTAGGGATGCATTTCCACTGCAATAGTCAAAATATCTATAGCAGAGATGTCCGAACATTTTTTCCCACTTGACTTTTCTCCCAAGCTCCAGCCTCATAGAAATGCCTCTGGATATTTCCTTTCTAAGATATTTCCTGTCTTTAGCTCAAACAAAATACATTAAAAACATAACTTATTCACTTGAAAAATATTGACCAAAATCCTACTATAAGCTAGACAGTATGCTAAGCATGCACATTATTTCCTCTCAAAATGAGATCCTCTGTAGGATTCCTTTGTCCCTCTTCATGGTCTCATCCTTATCCTGGTCATCCCATCATTCTGGGAGCCTCCTAATTATTTTGCTCCATGCTTACTGTGGTTACTCTTTGTTCTCTTTTGTTTCATCCTAGTCATGTCCTGAATACTTAATGACCACTCAGTTGTAATTCCTTCTAACTGGTTTTCTTGTCTTTATTCTTCATGAGTCTCCATTCCACTGTTAGGTTACATTTCTAAAAGCATGATGGTGATCTTCTCAGCTCCCTGTTCAGAAACTCTCAGTGACTCCCTATTACCTAAACCCTTTACCTCAACCTTAGGGTCCTGAGCCCAGAATTCGAAGTTAGGGAATCTGCGCTTATCTTGGCTCTGCCATAAAGTAAGTGACCTTGGGTATATCTTAACATTTACAAGAATAGGAATTTGGATTTTGGATTTGGATTTGATAATTACTAAGCTTTTTTTTTAAATAATAAATTTATTTTTTATTGGTGTTCAATTTGCCAACATACACAATAACACCCAGTGCTCATCCCGTCAAGTGCCCCCCTCAGTGCTCGCCACCCAGTCACCCCCACCCCCGTCCTCCTCCCCTTCTACCACCCCTAGTTCGTTTCCCAGAGTTAGGAGTCTTCCATGTTCTGTCTCCCTTTCTGATATTTCCTACCTGTTTCTTCTCCCTTTCCCTCTATTCCCTTTCACTATTATCTATATTCCCCAAATGAATGAGACCATATAATGTTACTAAGCTTTTTTAAGGCTCAGTCGGGCCACTGTGTTCTCTTTTTAAGTAGGCTCCATACCCAGCATGGAGCCCAATATGGGGATTTGAACTCACAACTCTGAGATCAAGACCCGAGCTGAGATCAAGAGTCAGGCTCTCAACTGACTGAGCCACCCAGGCATCTCTGTTCTATTTTTAAAATGTTAATCTTCACTCATCTCCTGTGTTGATCCTGGGATAAGTCTTGTGATTTCCTGCCTTGTGTCTTTGTTGGAGCTTTTCTTCTGGTCTGGAATTCCACTATCCTCTTCCTTGTCTTTGCTCATCTAAGTCTTAACTTCTCCAGAAAGTGTTTTGAGATGATGTTACTTGGGTTTGAACTCTTGGCATCAGTCTATACCACCCATTTGATATTAATGTACTATTCATATCAAGATATGAACATTTCTTGTTCCCTAAGGACTTCCATATACCCACCCTCAGTCAGCACCTCTCCATTATTGTGACCGCTATCACTATAGATTAGTTTTGTCTTATGCTGACCTGCAGATAAATGGAACCACACATTATACATTCTTTTTGTCTGACTTCTTTCACTACTATTAAGTTTGTGATATTAATTCATGTTGTTACATGTAGCTGTAGGTTTTTTCATTGCTGTGTAGTATTCCATTGTATAAATGTACAACTGCTTATCCATTTTGTTGTGGGTAAATATTTGAGCTACTTTCAGGTTTGACTTTCAAGAATAAAGTTGTGGAGTGCCTGGGTGTCTCAGTTGGTTAAGGATCTAACTCTTGATTTTTGGCTCAGGTCATGATCTCAGGGTCATGAAATCAAGCCTCATGTCAGGCTCTGTACTTAGTGGGGAGTCTGCTTGGGATTCTCTCTCTCCCTCTCCCTTAACACCTCACCCTCCTCTCATGCTCTTTCTAAAAAAAATAAATCTATTTTTCCAAAAAAGGTAAAATTGCAATGCACATTCTTAAACAATCTTTGGTGGACAAAAGCACTCATTCCTGTTGGGCATATGCCCAGGTATGGGATCGCTAGGTGAATGAATATATGTCTGTTGAGTTTTAAGTAGTCATTGCCAGCTTTCCTAAGAAGTATCAGTTTACACTTCCACCAGCAACAAGTGAAGTTTCCATGCTCCTGCTTTTTAAGTGGACTTCAAAATCTGTAATGTTGCCAGTAGGGGATATCCCATCCTCTTATTGCTAAGTACTATTAGGAATTATAACACTTCACAATACAAAATAGGGATTATAGCAGGTATGTACAGTCGTATCATCCTAATGACCTTCTTAGAGCCTCTAGTGTTAGATATTAGCACCAGACCTCACTTTTTAGTGTAGGGATTCCCATCCCCAGGTGCATATTGGAATCATTGGGGAGATTATATAAAGAATATGATGTCCTGGGTTTCACTGAATACAATTAAATAAAAATTTCTGGAAGTGGGGCCTGAGCATTTGTAATTGAACTAAGCTCCCTTCTTTAAGAGGCTGTCTCTTGGTGCTGATGTGTGTCTTGGTTTGAGTGTACTGTGTGTGTGTGTGTGTGTGTGTGTGTGTGTGTACTTGGAACTGATGGAAATGGAAGGAATCCATTCACATAATCACATTTTGAAGTGGCTGCTGGACTGATGACTACCCACTGAGTTCAATGTGTTGAATAACAACATAGGGGGTTTTCAGATTTTTCAAGGAAACTTTGAGCACTTACTCCCTAGTATGTGATGCCAGCCACTGTAAACATTGTGTTGGCTGGACCCAACCCAGGATCAGGGATGAGGAGAACCAAGATATCACCTAGATAATCAAAGGCTTATAAGCAAATAATGAGATAGGAGACTGACTTTCTGCTGTATACTTTTCTTGTCTGGGCCAAGTGCATCATTTCTGTCTCCTAGAATTTTAATTTCTTTTTTTTAAGATTATTTATTTACTTATTCATGAGAGACACAGAGAGAAAGGCAGAGACATAGGCAGAAGGAGAAGCAGGCTCTCCCATGGGGAGCCTGATGGAGGATTCGATCCCAGGACCCTGGGATCACGACCTGAGCTGAAGGCAGATACTCAAACACTGAGCCACCCAGATGCCCCTAGAATTTTAATTTCTACTTCTCACTTGCCTTTGGAAAACACTATAAGATATTTCCTCCCCTAGTTCTTTCTTAGACTCAAGTTCTTACAGATAAATGGATATATAGACAGCACATGTGGATGTGGTGTAATGGCCTTAGAAGTGCAAACTCATTTCCTTTTAACCCAAATGCTCCAGAATGGCTGTTCCTGTTTCCTGCAGAATTGCTGAGCCCATCACTGTATTTATTACCAGACAGATATGACCTTATTGTCACTCCTGCTCATTGGGACAATGAGTTATTCAAGCAAAGTACGTATGCCAATTGACACATGGATGACACTGGTGACATTGGTTCCCTCATCTCTCCCTTGCAATATCCATAAGGTTGTCATATCACTCTGCTTCACTTTGCCAGTGCAGATCTTCTGCCCACTAAAGTTAAAGGAGAAATGGGTCCAATTACATAAATTGATTTTATTTATGCTAAGAGTAAGAAATCACAGCAGGTGCCCATCCTGTAAATGATGAATAACAAAATTCTACTCTCGAAACCGATACTATACTACATGTTAACTAACTGGAATGTAAATAAAAATTTGAAGCAAACAGTGAAAAAAGAAGTGACAGCAGATGAAGTGAAATACAATTATCTAAACTACCCCCTTCATAGTCTTATTTATCCAGCTGAGATACTTCTGTGACAGAAAAGTATAGATGCCGGGTCCTCGAGGGTCTCCGCATTTCCCTGGAAGGCCAAAAGCAGTAACGCCTCTAATAATACCCTCACATATCAAAGGGCTTCCAGAATCTCCCTGGAAGAAAACAAGAGAGGTAGTGGGGATCAGCATGGAACATGATCACTGGTAAATGGAAAAAATTCTATTTAATGTGCAACATTCAATGTGGAGTTAAGATCAACCTTGACTTAAATGAAAATTAGTGCTGAAGAGCCCAAAATATTTGGAAATATTTTAATATGTTAAAATTGGCATACTTAATTTATTTATGAACCAGTGAATGTAAAATAAAACTTGTTGCTCATGTTATCCGATAATTTTGAGACTGATTCTGCTTTAGAAAGGAAGCCCTCCTATTTGTTATTTTCTTAAAATGCTTAATAACTCAAGGGGTAAAATGGTCAAATGCAGATGGGATGTTGAAGCAAAGAGTAAGCACCATGTTTTCTAGTTTCTCTAGCACATTAACTGTTTTCCCAAAGGAACAAAACCAAAGGAACTTTTCCCTTCATCCTGTCAAAGAAACAGAAACTGCTCCCCTAAATCCCTTTGGAGCATCTGACACTACTAGATGAGAGCTCCTGGAAACCAGTGATTATACTTCAGAGCTAACGGGCTCCTCCAGCAGAGAGGCTTCAGTTAGCTGTGAGTCACTGCTTTATGTCCTGACTGTGCCATCTACTGTGTGACCCTGCATGGAACTCTAGAATCAGCATATTTAAATGTATTTGAGATCTAGAGTCCAAAGTGGCCATTTCACTGCTCTGGCTTTAGGGAAGATCATGGGTGCTAGACAGATGACCACTGAGGCACATACATAGAGCTCTGCGAATGCCAGGTTCTGAGGGCCCAACTCCTTCCCAGTCATATGAAGGCATCAGCAATCCCACCTTTTCAGGCAAAAATTGGCCTATGAGTGTATGAACTAAGGAAATATGTGAGAGCCTGGGACCCCTCCCGGACAGATATACGTCACACAGGGCATGAAATTTTCATAATGAGTCCTTTAGGTTTAATTCATCCACGGCCAATTCTAAGGGGGTCTTGGGCACTAAGAGAATGGAAGAATGATCACTAAGCTTTGACCCTAGACGGTGGCTGTGGAGAGGGACAGGCATACTGGGATGCTGCTTTGGCCTCAGGATGTTTCCTGTGGTTCCAAGGGCATGAAAGTTCTGGGTTCCTGCATTGCCAGTGTGATGGATGAGGGGAGGGGAGGAAGGAGGAGGGAGAGCAAAGGAGAGAGAGTGGAAAGGTATAGAGGACAAATGTTATCTCTTCCTGGGATTTGCCTAGCCTTGGTCCTGAAATCAAGCCATTCAGATTCTGCAGGTGTTTGGACAAGCTTCTGGGAAGAACAGAGCTCCCTGGGTCTCTCAGTCTCTGACTCAAACTCCCAGACAACCTACATTGCAGCTCCTCTTCAGAGGAGGCCCTTACAGGGTCTTTGGGAAAGGTGAGAAATGATAAACTTGGCTTAAAATTTTATAAGGTGTCTCTGCTACTTCAATCTTTAAGCAGGGCCCTGGCCTGGTGCTTCTCAGGGAACTCTGGGACGGATGCTTGCATAGTCTCTGCATGGGTCAAATTTGGAAGTTGCTTCCTGGGGACTGAGCTTGGCTCTAGGGAGCTGTAGAATCTGGCCAGAGATCCGTAGTCAGGCTTGGAAAGGACAGGCATTTCAGACTTGCTTGGTTACATGGCAGGTGAATTTTGAGGGGAGTGTTGAGGTGGGGGAAACAGCACTGAAAGCCCTAGAGGAACCCTGACTTCAGCTCTCCTGGATGGTACATATTTCCAAACTGAGATCTGTATACTTTTGTATGAAAAACGAGAAAACAACTGCTTTTCAGTGTGCGTGTGTGTGTGTGTGTGTGTTTATGTAACATCAAGATGTAGTAGGTCAACCCATGCATCTGTAATGAACTCGTTTCTGATGAGCAACTTATTTGAGCTGAGAACATTAATTTATTTGGCGTTTTATAAAATTTCCATTAAAAAAAGCACTAGGACCTTGTGGAAGCCAACGCCGTAACAAGACAAAGCATGATGTGACGTGTTCTTTATCTGCCTGACTTACTCCAACAGCTACAACATGGGATCTTATTTCACTTACGTTGCATGAGTCTTTTCCACCATTGAGGCTGCCGGCACAGATCATATTCAGTCCAATCACAGGATTATAATTATAGTGCTTTTCATCATTGCAGATTCTTCTGTTTATGACGGTGATATTGACTTCTCTCAGAGTGTCAGACTGAGGGGAGTTATTGTGAATTCTTCCCCAGCCTGCGACTCGACACATGGTTCCCGGTTTCACATCATCCCCCCTCTTGGGAAGCCGGAGGATACTCACTTTTTTATTAACTTTTGCTTTTTTCTTCAGCTGTTAGAAGACAATCATGAAGACTTAACAAAATGAGAGCATTTATTTATTTTTTAAATTTTTATTTATTTATGATAGTCACACAGAGAGAGAGAGAGAGAGAGAGAGAGAGAGAGAGAGAGGCAGAGACACAGGCAGAGGGAGAAGCAGGCTCCATGCACCGGGAACCCGACGTGGGATTTGATCCCGGGTCTCCAGGATCACGCCCTGGGCCAAAGGCAGGCACTAAACCGCTGTGCCACCCAGGGATCCCCAAATGAGAGCATTTAAATGTTCATATTTCCATTTAAATTCTAGCCCAACCTTTGGTGGACTCCATTATGTAGCTATGGTCTTTAGCTAGAGGGCACAGAGGAAAGAAAGAATTTCCATCTTGGAGGCCAGAGGAGGTTCTGTGACTTTGAAGTCATTTAAAGGTACATACCTGTAAAAGTTTCAGATCCCCCTCATGTGTGTCCGGGTCAAAGCACGGATAGGGAAACTCTTTCTTAACAAACATAATCTGTTTTTCCGACTCCTTCTTGGTGATTGAGTGAGCTCCAAGAATGACCTGGGAATTTTTGTCCCTGAAAACAGACACAACACTATTAACTGGGTTTACTCTTTATATCAGGAGCTGAGCCTATTAAGTGACAGCCTTACTGTCTCATTTGTAAATATACAATCTGTGGCACTACTTGTTTGTAGCTCAGAAAGAAAAAAACATGTACTTTAAAGACTAAGAAGTTGTTTATGAATCTAGTATCGTCACCATGAGCTTCTTTGTCACCTGCTAAACTAGGTTCACCAAAAAACATACAAGAGAATTCCATGGCATCTAGGCCTCCTCATTCTCCTTGAGCCCTGATAAAGTCAGGTTACCAAATACTGGAAAACAAAGGTCTCAGGAGCCTAGAGATGGAAGTAAAAGGCACTCAGTAGTTATAGAGGAACGCACTGAAGTGATCTTTGTAAGAGAACAACACACTCAAATGGGAAAACTTTCAGAAATATGTCTGCCCGATGAAGGACCCTATTTGCATGGCACTGAGTGTGTCTATATTGGGGGGATGGTGATCTGAAGCAGGGGCCCAGGATTCTTTCTTTGTTTTACTCCCTGCTAAAGGTTCATTTTGGTTAATAAAATCAAAATACTCAGGGGTCCCCTGGCTGGCTCAGTTAAGTAGAACCTGCACCTTTTGATCTCAGGGTTGTGAGTTCAAGCTCCATGTTGGGCATGGAGCCTACTTAAAAAAATACTCTCTGGTGTGTTAATAATTAAGGTTATCATCATTCACAACCTAGTATAAATTAAACCAACCAGATAGTCACACTGTCATTTTTCTATTATGTCAGCTGATGTGAGTTTCACCTAAGAAACTAGAACAGTAGTTTCAGTAGAGCATACCTTGATGATGAAATGTTCTATACATCTGCCCTGTCCAATGTGGTAGCCACTAATCACATGTGGCTACTGAGGGCCTGAATTGTGGCCAGTGTCAACAAGGAACTAAATTTGTAATTATATTTAACTTTAAATTCATAGATCCACATGTAAATTCAAATAATCAATATGACAGTAGCCACTATACTGGGCAGCCCAGGTTGAGGGGCTTGATTTAGGGAATGGAGGAAAGGCTAGGACTGGAAGAGCTTTGAAGATAGTGGTCAGCAAGGGTTAAGAGATGGCTAAGGTGTGAGAGAAGTTCATAAAGGTTTTAGAAACAAGCTTTCTTCACTTGACTGTTGTGTTCAGGCTCCCGAGGAGACAATTTTACCCTCCCATACTGTGGTTAATTCTCTCTAGTTATGAAGTCAAGACCAGAAGCAAAGCCTTGCAGCATCCGGACCCAGCAGCTCTATAGAAGTCTGACACAAAGCATGTGGGTGCTTACTGGGGATTCCTCAATGGCTGATACTTTGGGGCCGAGTCTGGGCTTACCTCCCTGTGGGGGTAAAGCAGTTTCCCAGAGATTTAAGTGATGTGAAGATATATGTGAGCTTCCTGTGGTTTTATTCTCTTTATTAATATTCCCCTAAATGAGAATATCTCCACAAACATTTTTCAGAACCCAAGCACTTACAGGACACAGTGAGCTGCTGTCAATACCCAGTCTTCTGCAATCAGGGCTCCAGCACATATTTTTTTTCCTTTAAGTAGCACCATGTAGGGTCTTGAATGAGGACTCACTTGATTTCCTCCAATAATTTCTACACAGAAATCTGTTAAAAAGAAAAAGACAACTCCTATCAGTGCCCACCTTAAAGAGCTCTACTTAAAGTTATGTTCCTAAGACCAGAAATGCTTTTCCTGCTTGGAGAGGAAACAGGTGACACAGCATCCCCCCACTCTCCCCTCATGCAGATGTAAATCCCATTCCTGTTGGACTCCCTGAGAGGATTCTGTTCTTTCATCCATGGAAGCTATGCCATTGGCAGTCTAGGGATTATCAGGCTGGAAATATGCCACAATCTCTGACCTCGAGCCTCAGGGCTTGCAAAGGGCAAAGAGCTGTGCAATGGTTTGGCGCAGTTGCTAAGGAGATGCTAGTGATGATGGCAACCTTGAGTGCACTCCCCCCTCCTCCCTTCTGGCTGAGTATTAATCTGGTGGAAACAGAATAGTTTTTAGAGGCTGGAAAACTGCCCTTTTGTTTTTGTAAAAACACACAGCTTATAAACTGATAAGCTTTTTGTTGTGCCCCCACCTATAAGTTCTTTGGTCCTTGTGAGACTCTGTTTCATTGAGATTTGTACTCTCCTCATTCATAAGTTGAAGAATAATATCTACTGCCCTGGGGCGCCTGGGTGGCTCAGTAGTTGAGCATCTGCCTTTGGCTCAGGTCAAGATCCTGGGGTCCTGGGATTGAGTCCCACATCAGGCTCCCTGTGTGGAGCCTGCTTCTCCCTCTGTCTATGTCTCTGCCTCTCTCTCTGTGTGTCTCATGAATAAATAAATAAAATCTTAAAAAATGCATCTATGGCACCTTGGGGTCCCCTTCAACCTGCAGACTGAAATACACGGTTTAACCCAACAGCTTTTCCAATGAGGTAGGAGATGGGAGGAGAGAAGATGCTGGAAGGAGAGAACTGTGCCTTAGTCAAATTTCCTTGATGACAGAGCAGGAGTACAGCTCCTGTTCATTATTAGAAACAATAGGCCTGCACACAAGGCATACCACCCATGCTGGTTTAGCAATCCCGTGCCTCTGTGATACACATTTAGTCCTTCACCTCCTGTGCCAGATGTTCTTGGATTCTCCTAAAATATTTCTTTTGGCCACTGGCTGAGACTCATGGTTTCTTAAATAGGGCACAGTGCCTTTTGCTCCCTTAATAATGCCGACTCCCTGCCAAAGTCACAGTAAGATGTGAAAGATGAGGGCGAGGGAAGGGGAAGAGTGGTCCTGAGGGCTCCAATTTCCAGAAGCATGTTGGGAAGGGGAAAGATGAGGCTTTAACAGTTAAAGGACAAGAAGCCCAGAAAACTTCCCTCCCATATCAGCTTTTCCTTGAGTGAGTCATGCATGGAAAGACTTTTAAAGGCTCATCTTTGGACCTTGTGGGTTGCAGAAGTCATAAACTCAATAGAATAAGTTTATTTGACAGAATCACTTGCTTGGTGAGCACATCCACCAGCCTCAGAAAAAAAAAAAAGTCAACGTCTGCAACCAATCATCCCTAAAAGGGTAAAGGTAGAGGTTAGAGCAGGTGAGAAACTTTTGGAAACTAGCAATTTTTGTTCCTCACCCAGAATCAAAATAAATGAGAATCTCGGGAGCTGGGGCTGGATGTAAGTATTGTTTAAAAAGACCTCCAGAAATACAAATCCAAACCACAATGAGATACCACCTCACACCAGTGAGAATGGGGAAAATTAACAAGGCAGGAAACCACAAATGTTGGAGAGGATGTGGAGAAAGGGGAACCCTCTTACACTGTTGGTGGGAGTGTGAACTGGTGCAGCCACTCTGGAAAACTGTGTGGAGGTTCCTCAAAGAGTTAAAAATAGACCTGCCCTATGACCCAGCAATTGCACTGTTAGGGATTTACCCCAAAGATTCAGATGCAATGAAACGCTGGGACACCTGCACCCCGATGTTTCTAGCAGCAATGTCCACAATAGCCAAACTGTGGAAGGAGCCTCGGTGTCCAACGAAAGATGAATGGATAAAGAAGATGTGGTTTATGTATACAATGGAATATTCCTCGGCCATTAGAAACGACAAATACCCACCATTTGCTTCAACGTGGATGGAACTGGAGGGTATTATGCTGAGTGAAGTAAGTCAATCGGAGAAGAACAAACAGTGTATGTTCTCATTCATTTGGGGAATATGAATAATAGTGAAAGGGAATATAAGGGAAGGGAGAAGAAATGTGTGGGAAATATCAGAGAGGGACACAGAACATAAAGACTCCTAACTCTGGGAAACGAACTAGGGGTGGTGGAAGGGGAGGAGGGCGGGGGGTGGGGGTGAATAGGTGATGGGCACTAAGGGGGACACTTGACGGGATGAGCACTGGGTGTTATTCTGTATGTTGGTAAATTGAACACCAATAAAAATTAATTTATTAAAAAAAAAAAAGACCTCCAGAGTATTCTAATGTGTGGGAGAGTTGAGACTGCTGGGCCAGAGCATCAAGTCTTACTTTGCTCTATCTATCCTTTTTATGGGCCCACATTGCTCTCTTTGACCACAGGAAACAAAGCAGAGCAGAACAAGCTGCCTTTGTTGTTTCCGTTTAAGAAAAGCTGTAACTGGATTTTTAAAAATCTACTCTGTTTTCAATGTTGTGGAGGATTTAACATGCCTAAACACAGTCATACTATGCCATGCTTATGCTATGCCTGCCCTTTTGTCCCAAATGTGCTGCAATCTTGTTATTTTAAAAATTTCTTCTCATTTTTAGGTGCAAGATAAACCATAGAACTTTCTTGGGAATTCCTGGTGAGACAGGTTTTTGCACCAACCCCTGACCACCATTCCCACCTCCAAAAGTTGACAGACCTTGGGATGAAGCCATGGTTGCTTCTTGTCAGTGCACTTTAGGCAGCCTTAGAGCAGAAGGTTTTCAAGGAAAATCTAAAGCCACTCAGGGGCTATAACCCATCTTCTGATAATGCCATGAGCTTCACAGCATTTCAGATTGATGCCCATGTAGTTCATCTAAAACCAGGCATGTTGATTACTACTTAGTATGCCAAAGAATTAACGTAATACAAAATATCATAGCACTTCCAAAGAGTCAGTGTGGTGACATTCCCAATGGCACACTAGACTAGAGAAATGATATAAATTCAGATCGTTCCTGATTTGTTTTGGGTGACCTAAGTCGAGTCAGGGTTTTTTTTTTTTTTTAAACTTTTGTTTAAAACCATCTAGGTATTTTCTGCAGCAAGAAAGGAAAGAACGCCACTATTCCTTTCCTGAGAGGTACTATTTATTTTCCTCACTCATGCATTTTTGTTTATTTGGTTGCGTTGACATTGTCTTTTTGGCAACTTTCAAGTCATAAATTGGCAGCAGTAAGCACCAGTGGTTCTATTATTTTTTTGTGAAGAAATTTTAAAGAGGACAGAAGGATTTTTTTCCTTCTAAAATAAAGATATAGAACCCAAGGGAGAATATTAAAGCATGGGGAACAAATATCTCCTCTTATATCTACCTATTATTGCCAAAAGTTTGCTGAAAGTCTGCTCCACTTTGCTTGATGGATATAATGGAAATGACGAGAATCAATCTTACCTCCAGGAACCAGCAGGAGAAAAATAGCAATGGAGAAAGAGGATGCCAGAAACGTGCAGGAGTTCCTCATTGTGGCTGTTGTCCCCACATCAATCGGCGTGGAAATCTGTGTTAGTTCTTGACTGACTGTATCTATATATTGAGGGTGCAAAGGATGTGGTTTTTTTTCTTTCCAATTTCAAAGTTGAGCCTTCAGAAATGAAACACAAGTGAGAACAGTGAATAATTGCTCATAACCAGTGGGTATGCTTTCCTATGCTAGGACAGCTGAGGGAGGAAAGGACAACTCTGTAGTGTGGGTGGGGGCGAGAGGACCTTCTTGCCTTCAGAACACAGTCCAAAAAAGAGACTCTAACATGTCTCGGGAGAAATTTGGAGGATTCTAGCTTTCATCAGCAGTAATACTGTCTTCCATATCCTCTAATGGAACTGTTGCGATTTAAATTAGAGCTTTGAAAAAAAAAAACTGGTCAGCAACCACAGTTTTTTCTAATTATCTCCTTGGGTTATATAAGGACTAACAGGACAAGGGCAAGTGGAGATGCAGGAGAGAGTCTTATTTATTAATAAGCTCCTGCTAGATTTTCCTTCCCCATTTTGTGGAGGATAATTTATTGTGCTCCTCTCTGAAGTCTGTGGCAGGTGTGGAGACAGAGAAGGTGGGGGTAGGGAGTGTCTGGTCTTTTCAGCCCTCTGTGTTTCCCTTGATTGTTTGATTATACATCTTGAGATACAAGAAAGATACTGAGTTTCCCTTTCCTCCCATCCTCCTTCCCTCTCTCTTTCCCTCCCTCCCCCTGCCCCACTTTCTTCCTTCTTTCTGGATTTAGATAAAGGAGAATGGTAGTCAGACATGGCTATTTTGTTCTAACACTGAGGAATGTCTTTCTTTAAGACAGATGAACCTCAGTCCCTCAAGGAACAATATTCAGTATGCTTTTTATTGCAAATATGTGTTTTTTCTGAGCTAAGGATGTGGTCTTTATTATAATACATATGGTTATATGTTCTTTCAGGGTGTTTGGTATTACACCAACCATCTCCAGAGTTAACATGCTGATAACTCAGATTAGTGGTTTTTCAGAAATCACATGATTGTTTGAGAGATCCCTACTGAGACCCCTATGTTTCCTTTTCTCCAGAGATTATTAATGCATCAAAAGTTATTCATTTCTGGTAATAGCAATGGGCTACCCAGCCTCTGATTCTGGTAAGTAATTTTAGTGAAGACTTAAAGTCAAATCTTGATTGACTATAGCTACCAAACATTTCTCAAAGGAAACAGTGACAAACCTGTTTTTTTTTTTGTTGTTGTTGTTGTTTTTTAATGTGAACATGGTAGCCATTCCCTCTTTCATGTTGACTTTTGAGACCCTTATGAAATATATTTTATATACCACTAATTTTACCCTTGTAAAATTTATAATTCAACAAAATTATATTTCAAAATTTATAATTCAATTTTTAGTATATTTACTGAGTTGTGCAACCATTTTAGAACATGTTCATCATTCTGCAAAGAAGCTTTGTACACATTAGTGGTCACTATATAACCCACCAGAGTTACCATATAATCCAGATGACTGAGTTATATGGTAACTCTAAGTTTAGCATTCTGAGGAACTTCTAAACTGTTTTCCAAAGTGGCTGCACCATTTTATATTCCCATTGACATTGTATGAAGGATCCAATCTTCAACATTGTAGAAGGTTTGTACATTATTGTTAATACTTGTTGTTTGATAATTGCTATTCTAATGGGTGTGAAGTAGTATCCCATAATGGTTTTGATTGGCGTTTCCTAAAGGACTAATTATGAGCTTCTTTTCATGTGCTACTAGCCATTTATCTCTCTTTGTTGGAGAAATGTCTATTCAAATATTTTGCCTTCTAGGGCAGCCCGGGTGGCTCAGGGTTTTAGTGCCGCCTTCAGTCCAGGGCGTGATCCTGGAGACCTGGGATGGAGTCCCACGTTGGGCTCCCTGCATGGGGCCAGCTTCTCCCTCTGCCTGTGTCTCTGCCTCTCTCTCTCTCTGTCTCTATGAATAAATAAATAAAATGTTTAAAAAAAACAAATATTTTGCCTTCTAAAAAATGGGGTTATTTATCTTTTTATTATTGAGTTGTAAGTGGTCTTTACACATCCTGGATAGGATTCACTTTTAAGATACATGATTTGCAAATATGTTCTCCTAGTCTAGGGGTTAATCTTTTATTTTTTTCTTGATAGTGTTTTTTAAAGCACAGAAGTTTTAAATTCTGGTGAAGTCCAACTTACCAACCTCTTTTGTCTTGTGTCTTTGTTGTCACATTCTAAGAAATCACATTCTCTTTCATCTCAAAGCACAGCAACTTACAAGTAGATTACTAATGAGACAAGAATATATAACTCCCTTTACTCTTACCCTGAATGTGAAGTCACAGTTCCTTCCAGTGAGATTTTTCCCTTTTTCATCTGTTGGTGTCTCTATCAAAGGAACTGAATTAGTCCCCAGAATCAGCAACCTTGAAATAATAAACACAAACAATTCATCATTACTCCTCCTTTTCGAATCTGGTCTGGGTCTTTTTCGGTCTATCAGTGACACTGACCTCTCTCAAGGTATTCAAAATTGTGCACGAGTCTCATTTGGTGCTTTCTTATCCTGCTGCATCATACCTGGTGTGGGGTGTGACATTTCCTCCCATTTTTCGTAGCTTAAGTATTCCTACAGTTTTATAGTAGTTTTACCTTCCAGCTAGAAAACAGGAGATGCAGTTTTAGTCAAGAACAGCAGTAACACAACCCAGAAAATAGCTCTGATTAAAATATATGCTGTGCTTATTCAGTATGTTGTAATCAAGTACATGGCTGAAGATATGTTCTGATAACTGATTGTATCAGCAATTGATTTTTTTTAATGTTTCAAGTTTTTACTTAAATTCTGGTTAGTTAACATATAGTGTAATACTAGCTTCAAGAGAATTCAGTGATTCATCACTTACCTATAACACCCAGGGCTCATCATAAAAGTGCCCTCCTTAACACCCATCTCCCACCCACATCCCTCCAGCAAACCTCAGTTTGTTCTCTATAGTTAAGAGTCTCTTATGGTTTGCCTTCCTCTCATTTTTCCCCTCCCCTCTATGTTCATCTGTTTTCAGCAACTGATTTCTAAAAAGTCAACCATGCATTTACAGGCCTGTGTCACTAGGCTAGTCTAGGCCATCAGTTCTGTTGGCCTGTCAGTGATAAAATTATACTGTCGATGACAGTTCTGTGTTTGAAAAGCTGCTGTGGAGAACTCAATCTTTATTTATTTATTTATTTATTTATTTATTTATTTATTTATTATTTATTTATTTATTTATTTTTTTCTTCTCAATCTTTATTTAGATTGTCTTAGGTTTGTGAATGGATGGGTACTGAGACCAATGAAAGAAAACCAGGGCTCCTGGTGCAGGGGGCAGGGTGCAAAAGGGGCAAGAATCTTCATCTGCCACATCAGTGGAAATGTGGTTTTACCACTTCTGAACATGTACAAACCAGCCTGAGGGTCTCATCGGCCTTTGAGGGCTTGCCTACACTCTGCTTTTCCATTTGCCGAGCCTCTTCTTGGCTTACCACCTTGTTCTCTTTTCAAAAAGTCAAGGCAAGGAGAGTAGCCAGTGTGATCAGGGTTGAATACACAGTAGAAGGAGACAATTCTTGTTCTTTCTTTTTCTCTTGCCTCAAGCTCAGTTTGAAACTGTAGGGGGTCTTGGTATTATGGACCTCCAAAAAACAAAGAATGCAACAGTAGTGTCCACTGTCACATTCCTAGCATTGCACTGTTTTCAGCCCTCACTTCCTGACCTTTGACTGTCCCCACTTCCACAGGGGCCTCTCTGAGTAACTGGTGCTCCCAGCCCTCACTTTGCTAACACTTAGAAGCTGAAACAGCCACAAGGGCAAGCCTTTCCATAGAACATTGAGTCACATGCCCACATGCACCTTCCTTCCTTCTCTCCCACTCATGCTTTCTTATAGGCTTCATGCTTGTTTTCTGGTTGGATAGACAAGGAAGAAGGAGAACCCTTAAAGGGACTTTTGATCTTCTTTTAAAATATATATTTTTAAAGATTATTTATTTATTTGACAGACAGTAGGGCGAGGGTGGGGAGGCCCAAACAGTGGGAGTGGCAAAGGGAGAGGGAGAAGCAGGCTCCCCGCTGAGCAGGGAGCCTGATGTGGGCCTCCATCCAAGGACCCCAAGATCATGACCTTAGCTGGAGGCAGATACCTAACTGACTGAGCCACCCAAGCACCATGGGCCTTTTCATCTTAATGGATGGATTATAACTGGAGTCTAGGAAGCCTGTATGCATAGGCACATTCCTCTCACAAGCACACAGAAGAGCACTGAGTATACCATTATGTTTAACCCTGGAAGGATAGCCATGTTGAAATCCTCACACCTCTTTCTAGTTTCTCCAGCACTTTCACCCTAATGGCCACAGGGGTAGCGGAAGTGATAGGGAGTTTCCAGACTTTCACCTCCCCTACTCTGTTCTACCTCCTTAAAAAGATAAGAAATACAAGTCCTGAAGGAGACCTGACCACTTCTACTACTTGCATGAAACCTGAGTCCAAAATCTCTAGCCTCCTCTTGATTATCGTTGCCACTGTCTGGATTATTTCTGACCCTTACGCAAAATTATTCAGGAAATATTTATTGAGAGCCTAGATATACTACATATTACTCTAGGTGTTGGAGGACATAGACCTAAAAAGACAAAAATACTCATTCTGTGGAGCTTACATTGCAGTGAGGGAGACAGACAAACAAACACCATCAAAAGTATATCAGAGGTAACTGATAGGGAGAAAAATGCAGCAGAGAAGGAAGGGGGGGTTGGGGGGGTAGGGGTGGGAGTGTGGGGAGGGGGGAGTTGCCTTTCACTGCCCAGGATGCTCAACAGGGATTAAAGCATGGGGAGGAGGGGTTGCCCTGACAGAAAGGTGCCCCCTGATGTCCTGGAAGATAGTGTGGGGAGTCATGATGTAAGTGTCAGGGGGTAGCGAGTGTGGGGGAGAGCTTTGGGGCTTTCTATTTCCTCTTGATGCTGGAGTTGTGTGGATCCCCT